GTAGAATAAAGTCTTCGGACCACGTATATTATATTGTGTGAATCAGACATAATATTGTAATGTATTTATATTTGAGATTTGTAATATTTGGTGAATATATGAATACAAATAATTTATTCTAAAATATTCTCTCTCTATTTGTAGAAAATTTACGGGAAACAATCTGATGGAGGAAGAATTATGTTTACTGGATAGTGCTACCACTAATACAATTTTAAGGGAAACAAAAAAAATCACTCTTGCTAAGAGAAAGAAATATGTTATGACCATAACTAGAAGTAGCAAAGCAATTATTGCCTCGGGAAGAGCCACATTCACACTCTCACTATGAGTAATTCAGAATGCACTTTTGTATTTCTTTTTGCGGGGAAAATGCACTCTTGTATCGTGAATCTACACGTGCCCTTATAAGTTCTAAAGATGTCTGATCTAATGATTTCCATCTAAAAACAATAAAGTTAGACAAGAAATAATATTTTCTTTTAACAAAAAGCAACAGATACGAGGAACAAACTCTTCAAAAATTATCCGCATTTTCATCTTGATTATACTTTACATACATCAAACCCGTACCTTGTGTCCCTTCTTTCGTCTCCTTCCTTCGTCCAAACGCAGAAGAAGCGCGCGAGGATGACCTTGAGCCACCAACTACTGTCCCCGTTCGGTTGTGCATGTTAGTGGCTCGCGCGTGCGTATCCCCGCGCGCACAACTCGGTGTCGCGCCCCCACCATTCCAATACCACGACATGGCCGTGCCTCGCCGTGAAAATCATGCCCCCTCCCCGAGGTTGTAGCTCGCCACGGCCGCCATTGTAGCCCTGACCTAGGTGGCCACAACTCTTCCCCTGTCCCGATTACAACACGGTGCCACTTGTCGCCTACAAACAAAACTTGCCGACCGTGATTCACAACATGCCACCCCCATCAACCTCGCCGGGCTCGTCGGCGCACTTGTAGCACCAAAGCAGCCATGAAAATGGTTCGTAGCAAATTCCATCGCCTATTGTAACAAAAATCAACTATGGTTGTAGCAAAACATCACCATCGTCGTCATAGGTCGCAGCTAAGACATGGAGTTTGAAGCTTTTTGCAATGCTGGTTGTAGCTTTTGTAACCGTCCGTTGCAACTTTTCATTCTATGGTTGAAATGTTGAAACCTTTTTCATCTACGTATGAAGCTTTTCTCGTCACCAGATGAACCTTTTTTTTATCACCGGTTGCAACTTTTGGTGCTCGTCCATAGCTTTCGTCGTATACGGGTTGAAACCTTTTTCATCGCCAGTTGAGGCATTTTGCGTTACTGGTTGTAGATTTTTTGGTTGTCGGTTGCAGCACTGGGCATCTCTCCGAGGCAAGCGAGATGTTGCAAGTGTCAGGGATGATGGCGGCGAGCACGCTGGCAAGCTGCGGTTGTCGCCACCGAAGCTACAACGGTCACCACAGGAGCTGCAACCGCATGATGCGGCTGTTGCATGGGCGATCAAAGGGATTTTTTTGCGGGTTATTCAAAGTGGTCGTTCCATCATCATGAGGCTCCACGAGCCAAACATGCCTACCTAATAAGTCTAAAGACAGAAAATCACAACCTTCAAAATCTATAGCTTGAGCATTCCTTTAGAGCATCCACAAATGCACTTAAATGTCCGCGGACGGGTCCGGACGGCCCTTCATATTTGCCACCGGGCAGCCACACTAATCAGACGCTAACCCTCAAATCCATGCATGTGGATCATATAGCACAAAATTTATCATGATTCTATAGTTCAACAAAGCAACAAAAAAAATCATAGTTCAACAATCCGGACATGGCAAGTGAAATTGAAGCTTGTGGATTACACCCAAGAAGTTGTTGGAGACCTCAATTAATCTCCATAAGAAGTTGTCATGGTGAAATCACGGCAGATGCCATGGGATGGCTAAAAGTGGAGGGCTGCATGTGGACGTCGAAGGCGAGGTCGGCGTGTGCAAGTGTGAGACACAATACGCACCCAAGTTCGAGGCCCTCTGCCGAAATGGGATGATATGCACAAGGACTACAATGGTGCTCCTGGAGCTGTTTGGCGGAGGAGGAAGAAGGAGCTAGCTCTCCATTCTTGCCTCTCATGTGTGTGTGTGTGTGTGTGTGTGTGTGTGTGTGTGTAGAACTAAGAGTCAACGCCCTGCATGAAGGGCACCTTGGGGATCTTATAGGCTGGGCCCCCAGGGTTACAAAAGCTAAAGTTACATGGGCGCGGGCCCCGGTGTCATCGTCTAAAGCCGACAGTGGGGCCCGCTGGGTGCCTGGGTCCTGCCTGCTGCGTGTTACTGTTGCACGTCTCGCCCTGTGTCATGGAGTGGTTTGACGTCTTGGGGCTACAGTGGTGAGCCGTGCTGATGTTGGT